GAGAGGTAGGGTCCTGCCGTCGGCTCCCCGCCGTGCTGCTGCAGCCACTCCAGCCTGCGCACAGCCAGCTGGCAGGTCTCGGCCACCTGCGGGGAGGGCGTAGGCAGACAGCAGTTGGTCCTGGGGGTCCACGGGGGCCCTTCCCCATCCCCTCGGGATGGCAGCTTAGCAGGGGAGAGAGCCACTGGCAGGGTAACTAACCGATTCTTCCAGGCAGGAGGTAAGCCAGCGGGGGTGACTGACTTGTGAGTGATGGGGACAGCTGGAGGGCTGGGGAGGGCCTCAGGGAGGAGGTGATGTGGAGGCAGAGACCTCAACCAGCTTAGGGAGGGAGTCAGGTGGAGACCCGGGGATGGGGAAGCAGGTGCAAAGGCCCTGAGGCAGGACCCTGCAGGAGGGGTGAGGGCCAAGGGGACACGCAGGGCCCAGCCTGACTAGGTAAGGCCTGCGGGCCATGGCGAGGGCTTGGGATTTCGTTCTAAAGGTGATGACACACGGTGAGAGCTTTAAGCATGGAACAGAACAGCAGAATTGAGGGTCACACGTACCCGCTGCTGCCCTGGAGGAGGAAAGACTGAGGGTCAGGGTGGGATGTGGATGAGTGGCAGGGGAGAAAGGAACACGCATGTCCACACAAACACATGCACACGCATGTCCGTGGTGGAATGACTCATAATGGCTAAAAAGCAGAGATAACCCAGGCATCAGCTACAGTGAGTAGACTGACACGGCATGAGCCGTCTACACCACGGAACGTGACTCAGCCACAGAAAGGAACGACGGGGCCGGAGGCAGTGGCTCATGCCCATAATCCCAGCAGTTAGGGAGACCAAGGCAGGAGGATCGCTTGAGCCCAGGAGTTCCAGACCAGCCTGGGTGACAGAGTGGGATCTCGCCTCTATAAAGAAAAAAACTAACAAAATAAAAATTTGTTTCATTATTTTTTTTTCTTTACAGAGATAAGGTGTCCTGGGCGCCGGCCTCTACTATGGCGGATGCGAGTAGTAGCAGGAGAGAGGGGGTAAGGAGTCAGAAGCTTATGTTATTTATGCAGGGGAATGCCATGTCAGGAGCACCAATTATTAGGGGCACTAACCAATTCCCAAAGCCTCCGATTATAATGGGTATTACATAATAGTAATCTGACCTCAGGTGATCCACCTGAACATAAAAGAATAGGCCAGGTATTGTGGCTCACGCCTGTAATCCCAACACTTTGGGAGGCCAAGGTGGGCAGATCATTTGAGGTGAGGGGTTCAAGACCAGCCTGGCCAATATGGTGAAACCCCATCTCTACTGAAAACACAAAAATTAGTCAGGCGTGGTGGCGGGCACCTGTACTCCCAGCTACTGGGGAGGCTGAGGCAGGAGACTCGCTTGAACCCAGGAAGCGGAGGTTGCAGTGAGCAGAGATTGTGCCACCATTGCACTCCAGCCTGGGCGTTGCAGCGAGACTTTCTCTCAAAAAAAGAAAGAAAGAAAAAAAAAGCCTAGCCAACATGGTGAAACCCCGTCTCTACTAGAAATAAAAAACTTAGCCGGGCGCGGTAGCTCACGC